GAACATTGTGTGAAGAAAAAAATAGATAGAAATATTTTTTGTTTGCTTTTTTTTCTTTTAAAACATGCAAAAAAATAATAGAATATAATTATTAATAGTTAATAAATATCAATTATAATTAATGATATTTTAAAAATGATTGTTAATCGTTAGGGTGTCTCAACTAAAAGGGGATATAGTTATTAAGATTTTTAAATGCATTTTTTAGATTTTGCAAAAATATTGCAAAAAATATGATATTCCATTTAAAAAACATCATTAACTTGAAATTTAAAAAAAAAATAATCCTGAGGAAAATTTCTTTTTATCATTACATATACCCTTGTAATAGTACAAGTTTTCCTTTAAAGTTTTTTCATACAATTGTAAACAAAAGAGATGTTTAGATAATCTCATTTAGATGAAACACGTTTTATAATTATAAATAAATACAAAAATTATTTATAATATTAATTAAATGATATGCAGTATATTATTTACCTATATCTGCTTATTTAGGCAAAAAATATAAAAAATCTATTCACCTTTACTGTTCCCATTGCTTGGAACTCTGAACATTCTTTGTCTAACCGTTTGAATCTACTTTTCCTTTAAAACAGATAGGATAAAAAAGGAAACTCGTTCTACAACAAAAGGATCTATAGGCAGGAAAGGAAAATTTATGTATGTTTCATAGTGCAACATGCAAGAAATTTCGTTCGGTCTGTCAGTTTTTTAATTTTCAAAGATTTGGGTCAACTGGGCAGTTGCAAGAATGCATCTCCTTTTGGGGTTGAACTGACCATTTATTTAATGATCCTTGATTTTTCGTTGAGTTAAAACCAATATCATCTAAGCTCATCGGCTAAGAAAGAAGAGAACATTTTTTACATTCTTAATATTAATATAAAGTATATAAATATCTGATCAACTTTTTAGAAAAATAAGGATTCTTTGAATTAACATTAATCCTTAAATTATTTTACTTACAAAGATGGATTAAAAATTTATAGGGCTTAACAAGAACAATTTTCATTTTGTTTTTTAAATGAAAGTGCATTTAAGCAATAAAAAGAGTATTTCTATGTTCAGGTTCCAATTTTTCAACCCACAGACGTATTTCAATGAAATAATTAATGTTTTATATTCGATTGGTATCAAATTCTATTTCGTATTAATTTTATTTATTAACTCTTTAACTCTAACATATAAAAATGGAATGAAAAATGAAATGACAACTACGAAAAGAAATTTGATGATAAAAAAGACGTTACTTTTTCTTTTTTAGTGACCACCTTGGAAAATTTGCGTGAAAACGTATTCACTATTCGCATGGGCCTCCTAAAGGCTTAGAGTAGATTTGAAGAAAAGGCATCGAGAGAAAAAAATAGATTGTTAAAGACCCTTTCTTCGTGTAACACCAGGAGGACATTTATCTTGAGTGTCACTCGAGCCTACTTTCTCTGATCCGATGTAACTCCGTTTCCTTTTTTACTTTTTCAGTATTTTTCCTTTCTTCGAGTCTTTTTTCGATCAAAAGACATCTTTAAAAACCATCTAGAAAAAGACCTACGTCTCCAACAACGACGTTAGCACGCTAACTCATCATTTGCATCTTTTATGATTAATCATCTTACTGTAGAAAATGATTCGCAGACTGTCTCCTTTCTCCTTTCACTTTGGTCATCACATTTTGGATAATACGGAGATCGATGAAAGCTCGAGAGGATGATATTCTAAAGGGTGTTTAGAATTTTGAAGATACCGGTAAAGTAAGAGTCTTTATCCAAATATCACGCTGTTTTCCACATTTACCGAGTTCTTTCATACTTTTATACAACTTTCTTATTGATTTGAAAACCTTTTTAGAAAAGTACTATACCATCATCAATTTGTTTCATAAATTTATATCAATTATTTTTAACAATTTCTTTTTTTTTATAAATCTTTTCTAATTATTGGAATTACATGAGAAATTAAATACATGCATATAACAAAACATTTAATCAAATATATATTTACAATATTTATTATTATAATTTATCATATTTAATCGAAAAAAAGGAATCACTTAAATCAAATCAATATTTATAATATTTATTATTATAATTTATCATATTTAATCGAAAAAAAGGAATGTAACTAACTCAATTAATTCAATTATAAATGTTGGAATTTTGGCCAGTCTTACATTGGTAAACGCTCAATTCAAAAAGGGTAAGACTGCCTCCGTTTGGCGGTGAACATCAAAAAGGGTTGGAACGATTACAAATAGAAAACGTGTTCGTTTAAACGGAACAAATTGTTTAATGCGTAACTAATGTCATCTTCGTACGTTTCGTGATTTTATTGAAAGAAACATAATGCTTTTCTAAAAGTGATCTCTTCATAGAAGCAACGATGCATCATTGCAAAGTATCCGCAACTAAACGTCAAGATGTTCAAGAAGTATACTAAATGATTTTCCTCCTTTTTACATAAAATCATTTACTTCTTGAAAAATGACATTTGTTTACCTCTTTCTTGATAGTTTATCATTAAAAAAAATCCTTTTGATAATTTTGCACAAATTTGTTGACGTAACATTTCTCAGCTTTCTTGTGCATTGATTTATACACGAAATTCATCGATTTCTTTATTATTATTATAATTCACATATATATTTTATTTTTTATTTTTTTTATTTTGGCTTAGAGCGTCCGTGTGTCCCCATACTAAAGTGTCCATTGACGATTTATCGTTTCCGCTTGTGCTTGTGAAAGCAAGAGGTGACTGCACGAAAGACTCGAATAAGGTCCATTGACCATCTTTGTATTTTCTCTGGAGCATGTGCATCATATGTACTTGTAGTAGTTGCATTCGAAAAATACACTCCATTGTAAGTGTTTTTAGTGTAAAGATGTATTTTAATTTATTATTAATAAAAAAAATAAACCTTGATATATCGTCATGCATTAAAATTGTTATTACCGATAAATAATTTACAAAATAGTAAATATTAGATGTAAAACAACTTAAATACTACATTTATTCCTGGTTAGATTATGTAACACATTTTCTTACATAACTTAAAGTTTTTTTTTTACATAATTTCGTTGTGTTCGAAAGAAAGGGCGGATTGGTAACGGTGAAAAAGGTTTGACATATGAGAGAAAAGGGAAAGGAGATCGAAATCGTAGAGAGACTTGGTCAGAACGCGATACAAGAGGTATGGGGCAAGAAACCCTCGCCTTGCAAAATGTCAAAGACTCTGCAGGGAAATTGAAAGGCTTTGTACGGAAATAAGAATATATTGACTGCCTTCGCGTCCACAACCCTCACCTGAACAGAACTTAAGATTCTTACGTTTAAACGGTTTCATGGTATAAGAGAGGAAGGCGTAAAATGGCAAGAAATCATTTTGATAAACTATAATAAATATTCAGAAAAGCGACATAGACATAAACAATTCTTAAAAAGATAGTCGTTGCTTATGCATCTGATTAATTGTAAGAGTATATTCAATGTACAAATCAGAAATGGTTCTATGTAAGTGTAATATATCAAATATATAGAATTCGAATTTAGATTAAATAATCAGAATATATCATAATCCTTTTAACAAAACACATACACACACACAATCTTCATTATTTCTTCAATTATTATGTGAAATATTAATGGATAATTTTATATACTCAGCCCCATCTAACAATTATTTCGGTTACTACAGCGTGTACTGTAATTGATGACGTGTCTCATACGAAAAAAATATATAAAAATTTGAATACAGGACTCATTCGTTTTTAAAATTCTATGTTTAACATAATATAAAGGCTATAAATATATTTATTTTGTATACTCAACAAATAATACATACCACACGGAAAATATATTAGTATAACATGAGGGGATATAACAGCTATTAACAAAAATTCCTGACTTACTCACATGCAGTAATAGTAGCTTCCTCTTTTCATATTGTTTCCTTCTTATCACAGAAAAGTTGGCATAGAACCTCAACAACAGAAAAAAATGAATAAACACTTTTAATTGCACGTTAATTGCACATTTTAAATCTATAATTGCACATTTTAAATCTATAATTGCACACTTTATGATTTAATTATTTAATTAGTTATTAATAATTGAAAAAACAAAAACTTTTTTCTCATTTTTAAGCAATGCAATGGAGTTTTCTATTGTTTTTTATTTTCAATCAATTGCTGACTTTTTTTTTGTCCGGCTCTTCAACTGTATTTTATCTAATATTTTTTATTTATCGTTAATTAGTTGAAAATATTTATTACACTTTAAATAATTATGAAATGGCGACGTCATGAGTGGGAGATATGTTATACGCATGCGCAACCACAAATTCAAGGCGTAAGCGCACTTTGGAAAAAATGAAGGTAAAGTTGATATACCTGCATGGGATATATTTGTGGAATGTACAAAAGATTTGGAAGATGTTTGTTAATAAAATGCTTAATTTTTGCAAATATCTGTTTCAACTCTATAACCTTAATGGATCTAGGTTTTTTTGCCTTGTACAATAGTAAGTTAGGTAACTACGAAAAAGAATTGAATGCTTGTATTTCTTGCATTCTTTCGTCGAGATTGCAAAATTATGAATAAATACTATTTATTTATTAATAAAAAAGTTTGGTTTGAGTGTTCAAATATAACGGATTAAGAGATAACGAAGTTTAGATGTTTAGTTTTTCGAATATTACAAAAATGTATGTCTGCTCAAATGAAAGGACGCTGAACTTTAGAGATTAAGTTGCTGAAGAAGTCCCAATAAAGGAACGAAACGTCCAATTAATCAAAACTAAGTTCTAGTTCTTTTAATGTCCAATTTCCCTACGATACTTATTTATTAATAATTTTATTTTTGGACGAGAGAAATAACTAACTATTTATTTATTTCCCTTTCCAATTTCTGTTTTCGTGTAAGATACAGCCTCGGGTTGTTATCAATAGTAGAATAAGGAGCAGAGGTTTTAATGTTCGAGTGAAATCATATGTCTGATATATACATAATATGATTTATAATATTTGTTTATCATATTTTTTGTTGTAGGTATTCTATCACAAGTAATATCTAACTAATAGTCACTTTATAAGAGTCATTATAAATATAATTTATCGTTGAATAATATTTTTTTGTATAATGAAAATAACATTTTAATACCTACTAAGTCATATTAAATAATGCTGATTCTGTAAGATCATAACAATAGAACGATAACCTTTGGTATTTTATATAATCAGTAACGAGCAGATATATATATATATGTAGGATTCGTGAAAAAAATTGGGCCGTTGGATTGACTTGGATCTTCCGCTTTCCGGGTGACTGCTCTTTATCCATTGGGCTATTCAGGGCCCACCGTCCAATCTCTTCACGAATGCCTATTTAAGTATTTGGCATGGAGGCGCTCGCATCCCACATATATATTAATTATTTCTAAAATTCTGAACAAGCACGTTACATTGAAATCATATTTTTAATTAAAATAAATAAAACGAGTTAAACTAAACACATGATTAATTTATCAATGAGGGCAGCAAGGATTTTCATTGATTACAAAATTTTTAGATCGACAAACAATTTATATCGATCACCTATATACAAACGAAAAAACAAAAGATAAATCACATCCTTTCCTTCGCAATAAGTAACATTTTGGATCACCACATCATTTCTTCCTGAGATTCATTTCTCGCTAAAGGATTCAAGCACAAATTTTTAAGGGCCTGTACAGCCTCATCACCATCATCTTTGGCATACAGGGCTCTTCTTTTCGTATTTCCTTTGAAAAATTTTTTATCCAAAGTATTCGTTAAAGATGTTTTACCAAGCGTATATTTTCCACCTCGGACAGTTCGTTTGAAAGAATTTTTCGAGGATAGATTCGGGTGATTTATTGCTTTGAAAGATAAACGATTCTTTTTTCTCCTTGTATTGTTTTCATCAGCACCTTTTATAGACGATCTTTTAGAATCGTTGCGTTTAACGATTCGAGTTAGCGTCTCATTACATCGATTTGGATCAGGAGCTCTTCTTTTGGGATATGTTTTTTTTCGAATATTGGAAGATACTCTAGATCCTCCTAAAACGGGAGCTAATGTTCCTAACATCGCAGTATTTGTTTGAAGAGGTTGAAAAATCTCACTATCATTCCAAGACGCAATGACAGGTAATCCACAAGCATTATGCATTCCAACCAAAGGTACACCGATAGTTCGATGTTTTCTCGGTTCGAGAATAGAATCGAAATTCCTTTCACTACGACGAGCATTCTCCTCGTAAACGTATATTTTCTGACCAACGTGACCACGCGTACGTACAAACTCCTTATTGCCTTCACCATCTTGTGTTCTGCGACAATTTGAGCTTAACCTTTTTCTATACGATCTGCGAAAGTAATTGGCCGCGTCGTCAAAATCGCAAACGCTCCCTTTATGAATGCTTTCCATGGACTTTCCATTATTGACATTATCCTCTTTTCTCGTCAAAGTGTCAAGACATTTTGAAATTTCGTGGCAAGGATTATTCGATTTGTCAGACTCTAATGGAAGCACCAAGCGTTGTTGTATATTCGAGGTATTTTGATTAATAATAGATATTCTCTTTTTTGAAGGAATCATTGAAATATTCTTTTCAGGTTCGGAAACTAAAGATTCAAATTGCAATTGCGGAGCCATTGATCTTCTTAACGTTCCTATATTCTGTGCTATTGACGATTGATAATCTTTAATTGGAATACTTCTGACAGTCCCACCACCTTGTGGTCGTTTGATTTTTATCACACTCTGTTTATTCTCTCTATTCTCCTTCGGAATCTCGATTTTTAGTAAAGAAGATACTATTTGTTTGTTGCATTTCGAGGGAACATTTTCTACTTGTTGATGATTATTTTGATGATTATGTTGATGATGATGATGATGATAATCCATGATTACGTCAACAGCTCGTTCCTCATAAAGTTGATCATTCCTAAGAACATTCTCATCATATTTCGGAGAATCTTTCCAATCCTCGATTATACTTCTTCCATTATGCCTCATTGATTTATCGTATTCGTGCTCTATCACTTTTCTTTCTTCCAACTTCTCGCTGCCCTCTGACCATCTTCATGATTTGGCTCCGAACGTCGTACCAGACATATGCATTCTGTTTTCTATTCCTAATCCTTCACAAAATAAAAGTCAATAATTTACTATTTTATTTATTTGTAATTGTCAGAAAAATGTGTAAAGAATATTTTATTACCATAATCGTTATCGTTTTCATTGAAGGGACTCAGAGTTTGCGTGGAAGTAAAAGTTGACGTTTGCGATTTCTTTCTTTTGTTATTTTTCGAGCATGCGAAAAAGGTACTTAAAAGGACGCTGACCTCGACGAAGATAATCGACAAACCGATGGCTAGTAAGATTAACGCTTGCTCTTGCGTCCATCTTTCAATCATTTCCAGACATCCCTAAAAAGTTAGTATTGAAATTCTTATTTTTGAAAAATATTGTACGTTATAAGAAAAACATAAGAATGAAAATGTAATATTATCAAAAGTTCGGCCCGCATGACGGTCTTTTTTTATCGCGTTACAACACGTTAATACGGGTTTCGAACGGCTCTCGTCAACGTCATTTGACAATGAATTCTAAACACGTTACAGCAATTTAATAGAAATATATATCCAAAATACATGAGACATTTACGAAATCAAGAAACGTTTTGACCAATGTCATATTCAAAATTTAATCGTCCTTGGTAATTTTGGTAATTGTCTTTGTTAATGACTTCTGTCATGTACCTACCGTCGTGTGGCGGGCGTATTGATGTTCTGCGGGATTGAGAGCCTGACAGAAAGTGAGATTAGTAGGTTCAGGATTAAGGAAAGAGTCTGTCTCATTAACATTATCCAGGGTGCAACAACTAAGAGGTACCACCAATTCTCTTCGACCAACTTCCTGCAGCCTCCACCACGAAGTACCGTAATTATTACTTCCATTTATGCCGCAACAAGAAAACTATACGATTCGATGAGATACGTGTGATCAATAAAATTGTAGAAAACATAAAACTTAAATGTATTACTTTTTATATTATTGCTCGTAAATATAAATAAATAATTATACAATAATAATTTTGTATAAAAAAACTTCGAAGAAGAAATATTGTTCCTTGTGACTCAAGTATATAAGTTTTTAATTATAGCATTTAAAAATAATTTGTGTATGTACCGTGGTTTGTGCTAGGTCAAGAGCTGCCGTGAATTGTTCTCGTCCTGGAACTGCGTAACTACGTTGAAGTGCCCTTATCAATCGTGCCGGTCTAACATCGATTCCCAATAAGTAGGGCCAGAATACAGTGACAATGCATATGGTACATTCGCCAAGTAGTAATAACATTATTGTCACTATATACTAAAAATAGAATTTCCTTTAACAAATGTTTTAATATCTATCGAATATAAAATCGAAATAGAATGAAATAGAAAAATAATTGAAATCTAAAAAAATCTATTCAAGTTATATAGCGTAATATTCTTGCAATTTATTCGATTTTGAAAGTAGCATAAATCGAATTAGAGTCTAGTAGTTTTATGCTTCGCTTCTTCAACTGTTATTTTTATTTAACTCTTAAAGTCTAATTAAATTTCAACAGTCCCGTTATCTACATTCATATTCTATTATTTTCTTATCACAGCTCTTTTTCTTCTATGTATTATTTTTTTTCTATATCTCGCATTCGTAAAATGCATTCAGTTAACAAGCTATATCACAATAATGATAGTTTTTAGGTGGAGAGCTCGAACTCGCCCTCCTTTTGTGAGTACGCGTGTCTGGATACGTGTAGATCCGTTTCCGGGCAACGACGCGTGACCACGACCGTGCAAAAGCGGGAAATCTGGTTTTAGTTAGGCTCGAAGAGCGATCTCGAAGTGAAGTATTCTTTGCGTAGCTGGCATGTAGATCGAGAAAAGTTAAGATTTCATCGGTTTAATTACGTGGGCATTAGACCGAAAGAGTCTTTGTTTTTACGAGTGCATCAGCTCGTAAAGAAGCACGCTTTTTCAGATCATTCAATCTAATTTCTTTGACTTCCATTACATTTTTACCTTTGAAACTCATTGAAACTGATAAATATTTCTTACAATTAGTTTCTTTTTTCCACTGTGTACACAATATACACTAAATTTAGAAAAAATTCTTAAAAGTTGCATGTAAAGATGCATTTTGTATTCTTAGGTCAAAGTTCTTGTTATATGAATAAAAGATTCTTACCGATATTGTAATACATTGATTGAAAAGACAAACCGCCCAACATCCAAAGATACCAGTCATCGCTATAAAAAATCCTAAGCCAGCGGTGGCAAAAGCTAAATAATAGAATAACGGTTGATCAGGTTCAATATCATTGGATCCTAACAAACGTGACAACAAAATTCTTTCATTGTCGGCTAATAACAATGCTCCCAATGACATCAGAATAAATCCTGATATCTGAAATCAAAGTAAATTAAATATTTTTCTTCTTAAAACAACAGATTACGAATACATATGCAAAATGTTTTTATATCATATTATTAAAAATCTTTTTTCCATTGTTTTTATATAAATTTGAATGACTTACCAAAAAAATAACATTCGTGCAGCACACGAAAGCTCTGGACAACATTAGCTTCCTAGTTTCCATAATAATAAGAAGAACGATACTAATCGATATTAAAATATATTTTATAATATAACTTTATATTTTATAATTGCTTATATATATATATATTTATAATCTACATGTTAAAATTTCACGTTTTTCACTTGAAAAAAAATCACAATGAAAATTACGTCATCATGAAAACGAGACGTTATAATATGTTATCTTTGATTCGATTCGAATTCGAAGTTTACTTGTTCGCGCGTGTTCGAAGACTGGAAAGCTCGCACGAGCTCGATGGATGTACAGAACCGTAGAAACTCTTGGCATCTGTTAGCATACTCGTGTTGCGTGCCCTCATGCGCGACCAGCAGGATGGAACCGGAAGGAAATAGAAAGGTGCGGAAGAGAAAAGAGGGGATGAAAGGCCCCCCTATATGCATCGATATTTATGCATATCAACGAGTTTGCGTTTGTTCGTTCAAGTGCGGCTTTCATAAACAAAAATACAAATGAAAATTATTCTGAGAATAGAGTCTTGTTTTTAGAAAATATTTAAGAAAAGTTTTTTGCTTATTTTTTTATTCACGCGAGAATTTAATTAATAAATTAATTAGTATCAATTTTTTAAATTTTACTTGCTGCACTTTTTATAAATAAATTGTTATAAATAATGCGTACATATATATATTCTTTATTAACATTTTAAATAGCTTCCAAGTTGAAATATTTGAATACGGATCGTTTCTATATTTCGCGTTACGTATTATAACACACAACATTTAAAGCGCATTATTGTAAGTGTGCATGAAGCTTATCTCCTCTAGCCTGCATTAATTCATCTACTACGCCATACTTTTCCCATTAAATAAGTCCGATAAAAAATTATAGTATACAAATGTATATAAATAGGTATATAAAAATAGAGCAAATTAAATGGAAAAAAATTATAATAAGATATAACGCAAATTGGATTATAAAATATCATTTTTTATTTACAGTCCATATTTTTACAGTTTTATTTTCGCCACCAACGTATACAATAAATTAAATTTGGAAATTTATAATTAAAAGAATGTTAGAATTCCAGAAGATTTTTCTTCCTACCGGCTGAACAACCACTATTTAGTGTTTCATCTTGTTCACGTTGGGTAGTATCATCAAATTCTGGTGGTAGATGAAGAATCTATGTGGAATTAAATGTAACAGATATATTATTCGAAACTTCGGTGAGATAAAATTTAACCATAAACTTATAACTATATTTATACCTCTATTATAAATTTTTTACGTCGTAATTTAAAAACAAGATCTCTTGATTCAGGTGTATGAGGAGCCAATATATTTAAGGCCGGTAATTTTCTTATATGTAGTAGACCATGATAATCCTTGAAAAGAGGATTCGTTTCTTTTGCTGAACCAGCAAAAGATTCTAATCTAATAGCGAAGTCTGATAAGTGCTCTAGTCGTCCCACGAAATTATCCTGAAAAATTTGTAAATAAATTAACGTTATGTATGTATATGTTATAGTCTGAGTGGTAAATTCCGACATTGTGAGCAATGCCTAAGTATGCCAGGCGTTTTTGGACAACGTGGGAAGCAGAATTGTTACGAACTTTTCCTAGGCATTGTACATAATACTTAGGTATTCTATAGAATACTAAATGCTATTTAGGCAATGTTGAGAAGAATACATTACCGGACATGTGCGCCCACGACCACGCACACGCACACACACACGCACGCACGCACACACACACACACACACACACACACACATTCATATATTTTGGATGTAAGTATAAATATTGTAATTCAGCAGAACTTACATAATTGTCAAAATTCAGAGTTGGAACGCTTATCAACGCAACAGCAAAAGAATTTCTTAATAGAGCTCTAAAGCAATATAGAAATTTAAATATATCTGCATGCGTACTCTCTTCTGTATCACAAAACCACATTCGAGAACCCAAAGAATCAATAGAAATTCTCAATACATTTCTTTTATTTGGTTCATCGGAAGTGAAAAATTCTCCACTCTTTAAAGTTTTCGCAACAGTTTTTAATAGATCTTCATAAGCAGTGTTTCCAAAAACACTATTCTTTATATTTTTCATTGGTTTTTCCCACTGCGTTATATTTACATTATCAATAACTTTTTTGTCCATTGATTTTGTAAGATCATAGAAATGTCCAAAAACATGTCCTCCCATAGGAGATGAATCTACCGTTTTTAAATTCTGATATCTCCATGCAATTTTCATTCGTTCGTCCATAGATTGTATGTTGGGTTCAGAAACATTGTCTGTTATCGGAGCTGGTATTTTTGACAACAAAGTAGTAAGTTCTGTATCTTGAGACGCTATTAACAAAGGATGATTGGAAACTATTCCTTCTGCTATAAAATACTTTTGCATCACATGAGCATAAGTTCCATAAGTATCTTCCTCTGTAAAGAGCACATTGCATAAGGAAAACAATATGTATTACTATTGCTACAGAATAATTTACATACCAATTAAAAATATAGATCCGATAGGTAGACCACCACCTAAAGAACAATAATTTGCATCATTTAAATTTATTCTATAAATTCAATTAAAACATACATACCTATCGTATAATCCAAAGAAGGTATTCCAGTAGATACAAGAAGCTGTGCATTTTTAATGGAAGGTTTTGTACCCGGTATATAAGGGATTCTGGATTTATTTTTAGAACTTTCTAGTGCCATTATTATTGCCTTTTGTTTGTTTGATCACATTACAGATACGTTAAGTATATGTTGCAAGTATTCTTTCACAATATACTAAAAGCTTCCATACGTTAGAACAAGTTTTTCCAAAATGTTCATCATGTAATATTAATATAGTAAATTTCTTGAAAATAACCTAAAAGTGCAACCTTTGATGACAATTCACGCTGATTTTGAGCGTCAAATTATGGCTCCATCTAGCTGAAATAAGTTGAATCTTGTCCAGCGTCAAATTGTAAAAAGTTAAACACAAATTAGATTTTTATTAGGCTTGATTTTTTTTTAGGCTTTATTAGGCTGTTAAATAATTATTATTTTTACAGTGTCCTGATAATGCAGATTCTTCCTACTACAATTATAAAAATAATCACAGTATTGTGTTAATGGCTATTTGTGACGCTAATTATTTGTTCATTTTCGTTGATATTGGTGCGTATGACCGAAGAAGTGATGGAGGGATTTTTCGAAATTCAGTAATGGATCAGAAGTTTGAAAATAATCAAATGAACGTGCCGAAACCAGATTTTTTAACTATAGATGGAATGCCTCAACCATATGTGCTTGTGGGAGATGAGACATTTCAGTTGACTAATTATTTGCTTCGGCCATATCCTGGTGGAAGTGGTTTTGATCAAGAAAGAAGTATTTTTAATTATCATCTGAGCTGAAGTCGCAGAATTATTAAAAATTTATTTGGCATCATAGTGAGTTTGTGGAGGATTCTGAAAAAGCCTATTAAGGCTAATGTTGACAATACTGTTAGTATGATTCAAGCAATCATATGTCTCCATAATTGGTTTTGCAAGGATAATAAAGATAGTCTTTACATTCCATCAAATTTAGTTGATCAAGAAGTAGCTCATAATTTTATTCCTGGAGCTTGGAGAGATGAAGTTAATAATTCTATTCTCATAAACAGAAGAGTTCATGGTAATAATTTTAGTAGCCGATCTGCATTACCTGTTCGGGATGATTTTTGTGAATATTTCTAGCTGTCCCTTGGCAATATAACCGTAATTAAAAGTAATTCATTGATTGACTTGTCTGTCAATACATGATATCAGTATTGAATTGAAGCATACTCTTCAAACTGTATAATATAGATCATTTTTTTAATTGTAAATTTATAATTATCTTTTATTTTTATTTTCTTTTTTTATCTTTTTTTTATAATGTACTAAAAATAACAACCAATTGAAATAAACAAAATTTTTTAAATTAAAAAAACGCGATGACGGCACAATACTATCACACCTACTGGTGGTCCTAGCAGTAACTAAAATGAAACTGGGTAGATAAAAAAGGGGACTTGTGAGCTTCTATGTACTTCTGTATTCTTTACCGTAAGAACGCTGGCAAGGAACCTCAACAACAGAAAAAAATGAATAAGTACTTTTAATTGCACGTTAATTGCACATTTAAAATCTATAATTGCACACTTTATGATTTAATTATTTAATTAGTTATTAATAATTGAAAAAACAAAAACGTTTTTTCTCATTTATAAGCAATGCAATGGAGTTTTTTATTGTTTTTTGTTTTCAATCAATTGCTGACTTCTTATTTGTCCGGCTTTTCCACTTTATTTTATCAAATATTTTTTATTTATCGTTAATTAGTTGAAAATAATTATTACACTTTGAATAATTATGAAATGGCGACGTCATAAGTGGGAGATATGTTATACGCATGTGCAACCACAAATTCAAGGTGCAAGCACACTTTGAAAAAAATGAAAGTAAAGTTGGTATACCCCTGCAAGGGATATATTTAAAAGAAAAATTATAGTTTACAAAATATTTACCTATTGTTTTATACATTATGAACGATTAACCTATTTCTTTTCACTACCCTATAGGCTGTTACTTTGGAAATCAACTTTAAATATATCACTGACTCTACTTGGCGATTAAATTTTACTTTAATAATACGCAAAAACACTAACTATACTCTGCGATAAAAATTTGATTTTAATTATTCGTACAAACAATGACTCTACTCCACGATAAAAATTTGATTTTAATTATTCGCAAAAACACTGACTCTAATTTTATAACTGCATTGCGCGCAGTTAATATATCAAACACTAACACTTGCTTACCTCTCTGAAAAGAGAGAAAAGAACAAAACGATTAGTATCATTGTTACCTTTTAAAAATTACAAGTAAGTATTAAAGAAATGTTTGATAAAAAAATTAATTTACCTTTTATCTTCAGTGATGAATGCCTGATGGGTTTCCTACCCTTAGGATGACACACGATGGCACATGTATAAATCGAATAAAAGAAACTTTCGGAGTTTCTTTACCTGAAAAAACGAAACTGTTACATACGGCGAACAACACTGACTCTAATTTCCGATTATTATTTAACGATGCAAACACTCGAGTACCTCATTGCCTACGCACTTGATTACAATGATGTTCTCAACCAGAAAATGAAAAAGAACGATTAATAATCTCGTCGTAATTAAAAACTATTGAAAAATTATCATAGAAATGTTTGATAGAAAAATTCTACTTACTTGTAGTCTTCAGTGATGAATGCCCAATGGGTCTCCTACCCTTAGGATGACGATGGCCAGTAGACGATAACGAAAATAAAAAACTATAATAAAGTTTTTTATCGCAAACGCGAACGCGACGTGCTTACCGACCGCACTGCACGTCCAAAAACAGCGGCTGAAAAAATATTTATTATTGCAGTTCCTAAAAAGAAAATCGAGTATTATAATGTGAAATATACTAGGAAGAGAGTATTTAAGGGAAAGCTATGAAAGGAATTTGAATATGATATTAATTGGGAAAATGAAAGAAACTAATTATGATTATAATGTTTATGGTAAGCGATCTTTGCTAGATTTTACTTACAATGGAATGTATGGCATAGAAAATATGATATACACTACATGGAAAGTAATATCCATTGCCCGGGTCTAACCACGAGGAGGTAACCGTTTCTGAAGACCCAAATTTTAACGAATATTAATTAAATTTTATTCGCCAGTAACACGCATCGATGTTTACACGTTGAAGTACTAACAAAGAACTGACTAAAAAACAATGTAAGTAATCGAAACATTTAATGTTTACGATTCGGCCCAGTAACGAAACCAAATTTAAAATAGTCATCTAGAAAACATAAAAATTAATAACATAACAAAATTATTTTCTATTCAAAGTACATTATAGATATGTAGTGTTTAAATCAATGTATATATATGTGCTGAAACAATTTGAAAAATAAGTAAAATGTATTAGAATATTAAAATAATTGTTAATTCATCGATGGAAATGTATATTGTAATCTAAAAATAGGGATTGACCTTTTGATGTACCTTCCTCTTCGAAATCTTCAGTTAGACTGAAACGTTGTCATATAAAAAAGTTTTTTCTTATTGAATTCTGTTTACATGGCTTTCCGAAAGTTGCGCATGTTTGTAACTACAATATTATTTGTAATAAAGAGAAAATAAAATTATAACGTTCTGATTAAAGCATTTTTTAATTTTTATGTAATTGTTTAAACTAATGTATATTTGTTTTAACGTTCCTGTGCAGTGGTGACTTCGGAGGAGGAAATTTTCAAAAAAAAAATATCACATTGAAATTATTTAATATTTAAAGTATGTTGATAAGTATATGTAATGCTTATACTAGTACATATATGTTTAAACAATCTGAAATATAAAGAGAGTGTATTAGAGTATTAAAATAATTGTTAAATAATTAAAAGAAGTGTCTATTATTGCTTAAAAGCTAGGTGTATACGATTTATGTATCGTCCTCTTCGAAATTCGCCATTGAAGTGGGCCTTTGTCTTCTAGGTAAATACTTTTATTAAATATTGTTTATATGACTTTCCGAACGTTGCACATGGGTAAAAAAGGAATAATTCATCTTATCAATAAAATCCAAGATTATAACGTTCTGATTTTATCATTTTTATCATTTCTACGTAACTATTTAAATAAAACTATGCTATAAAGATGTAATTATTATATATAAATTACAGTTACATAATTGTAAATATTGAATAAATGCTTACAAATAGAGTAACATGTAAGAATTAAATTACTTTTCCTCGTATTTATTAATATATATGTAAATGAAAAAAGAAAGTACATTTTTCTAAAAAATTGTACAACTAATATATTAATACAATGTATTAATAATATATCAATGGAAATTGTTTATTATTAAAGCTTACCATTTAGATAGAAGAAAGCTGAAGTGTTTGGTTGTTTAAATACCAAAAAATATTGCCTGGATTCATTTCAAGATCTTCTAAGTTCTTTTTTTATGTATGTACTTGATACATAAAACGATGAGAAAGTCTAATTGATGCTGTACTTTTCCAAATTTTCAAATACTTGCAAATTAGCAAATCGTAAGATTGTTTTAGTAAAGTATCAAGTAAGTGTGACGCAAACTTGTGTGCCTGAAATACATTTCGATATGGATATTGGGAATTTTTAATTGGTCACTTCACGTGTAAATAATTATCAGCCAATCAGAGCTCTTTGTTGATTTTCCTTCTTTCTTTTCGCGGCGTCGATGCTAGAGATCTCACGGATACTACGTCGTCCCGTTAATCTCAGGTAATTAAAAAGTATTTTATACCTTCCTATTATATACCAAACGATAGCTACACACAAGATTTTCACATACGTGTGTTTTCAAAACGAAATATTAAAAAGTTCGAAAGATATCTGTGAAAATATAATCATTTGTCTATGTCGGTTTCGCGCCAAATCTCACCAATGTTACTTAATAATATTTCTTCTAATTTCCAGCTTTTTTCATGGTATCGATACTTACTACCATCTCTAATGATGCTCTAATTAATTATTCTCATAATTAGATCTTCAAAGATCGTATTTCGTGTTAAATTCGACTTTTATCACATACACACACATACAAGCATATATACATAGGTATAGGTTGCTCGTACACGTGCACTCATATATTTGATTTTCTTTATATTGTACTAACGTAATTTTATTTTCTTTTACTTTTTTAGATTTCCGAGCATAAGGAGAGTCCAAAACGAATACATATATACTCATTCAAACAATTGTGTTTACTCTTTTTTATCTTCATATTCATCGAGGTAAGCGTTATTCTTTTTTTAACCTATATAGAAAGAGTGAGAACGAGAGTGAGAGAGAGAGAAAGAGAGAAAAGGA